AGTTGACAAGTTAAATATGGAGATAAACATTAATCAAACAACAATATTTACTTTCCATAGACAACTTGGTATTGTTTGATGTATATTACAAGTAGTAATAGTAATATCACATTCAAAACATGGCTAAGTGTCGCTAACATAATAATTAATATATATTAATAATTAGGTATTGGAAATAAATGGTATCAGTATTCACCTATAGTTTAATATTAAAAATTATTTGTTCTAAGAAATTATAACTCATATTAATTGAATTATAATTTTCTTCAATTAATAATATATGGAATGTACATATGATCTTCTAAGATATTGGTTGAGACACGAGAATCAAAAGATGAAATCGAACTATAATTAATACCAGGTAATTAATAATCTAAACAAAAATATTTTGATGTATCCAAATATTTTTGGTAGATTAACAATCACAAGATAATATTTATTTATTACCATAAACTATACAACTTTTTCAGTAATTAAGAAATTATTATATCTTATACAATTGTTAGCATGGTTATGGATATGTCACATAATCATCACTTGAGTTTAAATACTATTCTACTTTATAGGAAATACAAGATCTTGGAAAGGGAGAACATGTATTACAGCTGTCATCACAATCAATACATATTATCATCGCTTAGTATTAAATGAATTGAACATATTGAAAATACTAAATTATTTAAGAGAGAATTACCATAATAAATAAGATTTTTACAATTAGAAAAATGAGTCTATTCTTAGTTAGCATTTTTAACTTATAATCAAAAATTTGAAAAATGTTTTTAAAATACATTAAAATTGCCATTACATTAAAAAAATATAATTGATGGGATCTCAATCATTTTAGAATGATATAAATATTAATACTACATTTGAAATTGGATATTATTTAATCAAATATCAGTTGATGATATATTTTTATATAAAATTGTTATTATACATAAGGTTATTATACACAATGTTGGATTAGATTAATAAACAACTATCATAAGTAGGATAAGTTTTTTAAGAATTTTTGTCTTCTAGAGAAGGATTATTGAATTAATTTCTAAATTTTTTCTGGAATGTGATCATATCAAAGAATGAATATAAAGAGATCTATTCATCATATTGTAAGCATACATTAAATATTACAGACATAACCTTTTTATAACATAAAATCGAATTTTAACTATCATTTATCAAATTAATTAAAAAATGTAATGCGAATAATTCCATAGGTTAAAATATCAAATCATTATAAAGGCCATTAATTAAATAAGTAATAATCTACTTATAATAATAATAGATAGATTCTGTTAAAAAACAATATAATATCTACTCTAAAAAATATGCTATTTGAAAGAAATTTCTGATAACTTGTCAATTTATTGATGGGATTAAGAAATACGGTATAAGCACAAATTGTGAGGAGTTCAATAAAATAAAATAATATTTAAATTATTTTGCATAGATATTGATTTTTAAAAACTAACGATTATCTCAATCAAAACTTTTTGATTGTAAATAAAGGTTAAAACAAAATAGAAATTTCAGTAGGGTATTTAAAGAGTTGCTGAACACAAAATAGAAATATACATAATAAAAATAAAATATTAATAATCTTTAAATTTATTTAAATGTATGAATCATATTCACTCTTTATTTTGTATTTTCAACAAAATAATTTAGGATATATTCTTAATGATTCTCAAATTTATAAGTATATGTCTAATTTTTTTAGAATCCTTAAGAATTAGTAATTGTTCTTTTATTTTTAGTAACCTATATAAAACCCATGTCATTCATTACTCAGCATCTGTTTATTTTATGCTTTACTTTTCCTGTCGTTTATGATAGTTTACATCATGAAGAAAAAAAGTAATTTCGCCAGTAAAAACTGATTAATCGTTAATCTTAAATTCTCAAAATCATATAAAGTAACTGATTTATCAAGAATTCGACACTGTAAAATTTTAATAAAAAAATCAGCTGGTAAAATTCGTGTTGGAATAATTGTATTTTTACAGAGCAAAACCTAAAAAAGTAGTAGGATTTTTGAATTTAACATCATCTAATTCAATTAATACTACATAGTAATATCCTAGATTTTTTTGCAGAATTTTTAAAAAATTCAGTTTTAGAATAACTATTTAGAGTGAGGAGGGAAATATTAATTTAATATTATTAATTTGAAATTTCGGAATGTTCTTCTGACAATTCTGAATTCTGTAAAAGAAGACACATTAAAATTAACAAAAAGTATGGATTGTGATTATTAAGGTAGAAGTTAATAATGGGTTCAATTACCCTAATTAAAAATGATTTATATATTACAAAAAGTAAGAGTTGATTCTTTTGGTGGGAATTTTTAAAACCTGTAAAAGTTATCGTTAACAAGGAGCAAGCATTAAAGATTGAAAATATGAAAATAATGTATTCAAAGGGATTTTGAGAATATTAGAAAATGAGTAGGACCCATTAAGTGAATATTCATATGAATATGTTTTAGTAATTTAAAGTCAGAATAGTAGATCAATGTAATTGAATGGATCATTGATATTAGTTAAGAATATTTCGATTATTAGACTATAGACTAATAAAAATAAAGGGGAAAGGAAGGGAGAGTTATTTTTAGACAAATATGAAAAAATAAAGTGTGCACTCTTTATCACAATTATAGATTTAATTTATCAAAACTTTAGTTTATATGAATTGAAAATAAAGAAGCTTGCCTATAAATAAAGGATTTTCAAATTAAAAAGGAAAGATATATATCTCAAATAACATTTTTTTATGAAAATAAATATTTGGTTATTTCTGAACTTTCATGGTAGATAATTTTAAACTAATAAACAAACTTAAACATAAACGTATCCAAAGTATAATTTAATTTGATTTATATAATTTGGAGAGGTTATTCAGTATATATTAAACATTTAAAATCAATTTTCCTCTTGTTGTATAAATTTGCCTTCTATAGCATTTCAAAATCAAATAGCTATGATAGTAAATCTCCTCTAAAAACCAATAATCCCTGTTAATGTGGACTCAAAGTTATAGCTTAGCTAAGGCTTAATTAACAATAAACTTAAAGATAGATTGTCGAAGGAACATAAGTTCTAGATATAAATTGATTTATTTAAGCCACAACTATAAGTAGACTATATAAGCTAAAAATTCTTATCTTTTGATAAATAATATTGATTAATCTTTTAAATTAAACAAAAAATATTTTTTCGAAACAAAAAGTTCCTTTTCTGCCGATATTTTTATTACATAGATAATTTTCGAGATTAATAGAATCAATATTATGAATTTTGCTTTGGTTTATATGATAGACATTTAATAAGGGGAAAATGAAGAGAGTAGTTCAAATCTGTTTAAGTCTTTCTTAAATAATTCATGAGGATTGAAAGATTATTTGATAGGATAGCTTGTAGTCCATATAACATATGTATGAAATATCTGATTATAGTGCATTATAATCAGACCTAATTACGAAGCAGATGTTTGAGTCGTTTGATAAGATAATATCCTGTTTTACAGATGATGCTGCAACAAGTCACTTCAATATAAAAGAAGTTATGATTAAATGGATGGAGAACCTAAAGAAACTAGAGAACAAACATATAGCAAATAGGGGTCTAAAATATCTAAGAGGCAGCTAAATATAAAGTTTTATTGGAGATTGTGTATTAATTTAAGTAAGAATGTTATATTTTTTTTTTTAAAGTAAAATTTAGCTATCTTCTATACAGGTTTTTCCTTGCATTTTAATCAACGTTTCCCAAATTAAATTGATTAATTTTCTCTTACTCACAGAGTATGAAGAAGTATTATTTCGTTTAAGGTTACAGAACCATCGATTGATCAATCAGAAAAAATCTCTAATTTTTAGAAAAATATTCATGAAATATAAATGATCTGTTTCTAATAATTATCAATTTGAGCAATCTCACATGGGTCTTTATAAATAGAGGAGGATAATCAACATCAAGAAATAATAATAATTGATAGTATTTTAACTAAACCCGATAGAGTAAGATAACACTTTTTTCAATTTTTCTATATAATATTAAAATGATATATATTATAAAAGCCAAAAAAAATAAATATAATTTATTTTATGATTTTGATTCTAATCAATTGTGATTTAGTAAATATTCTACATTAGTTTCCAAAAAGTAGCCTCCTTGAGCTTTTAATAATGGCTTCAAATCATAACCTTAATGATTTAGAAATTCCCCTTTGAAAATTAAAGCACCTGATACATAAAGAAACAAATAATTATTTTCGAATAATTCATAACTAAATAAAAGAAAAATAAAAACTTTTTTCTTGAAGTTGATTCTATTTAAAATGTGGAGTTTTAAATTAATCTATTATTTCTTTGTAACATTTTTCCTGTCTTTACATCCCATAATCGAATTGAGTTATCATCACTACCTGAAGCTAAAGTAGCTCCATCAGGTGAGAAGCATACTGAATTAACAGACCTCATATGACCATCCAATTTGGCTTTTTATTATCCTGTCTAAACATCCCATAAGCAGATTGACTTATCTAAACTACCCGATGCTAACGTAGTTCCGTCTGGCGAGAAGCATAATGAAAGACAATGCTAGTTTGACAATCCCATTAGGCTTTTTAATATCCTGTCTCCATAAACGGATTTCGTTTTTGCCCCATTTCTCGAATGCATAATCATAACTACCTGCTAAAGTAGTTCCATCTAGTAAGAAGCATACTGATCTTGTGTGAGCATCTAATTTGGCTTTTTATTATCATGTCTAAACATCCCATAAACGGATTGACTTATCATCGCTACCTGAAGCTAAAGTAGTTCCATCTGGTGAGAAGCAGACTTATCGAACTTTATTGGTATGACCATTAAATTTGGCTTTTTCTTTTCCTGTTTTAATATCCCATAAACGAATTGATTCATCCACACTACCTGAAGCTAAAGTAGTTCCATCAGGCGAGTAGCAGACTGACAATACAGAACTAGAATGACCAACTAATTAAGCATTTTACTAATAGATCTAAATATAAATAATTGGATTGAATTATCCCGACTTCCAGAGGCTAAAGTAGTTCCATTTGGTGAGAAGCAGACCGAGAATACAGAACTTGAATGACCATTTAATTAAGCTTTTTATTATCCTATTTTAACATTCCATAAGCAAATTGACTTGTCACTACTATTTGAAGCTAAAGTATTTCTATCTGATGAAAAACATAATGATTCAACAGAATAAGCATGACCATCTAATTAAACTTGTTATTATCCTGTCTTTACATTCCATAAACGGATTGACTTATCCCAACTACCTGATGCTAAAGTAGTTCCGTCAGGTGAGTAACAGACTGAGTTAACTGAATCAATATGACCACCCAAATTGGCTTTTTATTATCCTGTCTTAATATCCCATAAACGGATTGACTTATCTACACTACCTGAAGCTAACGTAGTTCCATCTGGTGACAAGCATACTGAGTTAACTGAACCAGTATGGCCATTTAATTTGGCTTTTTTTTTTCTTGTTTTAACATCCCATAAATAGATTGACTTATCTCTACTACCTGATGCTAAAGTAGTTCCATCAGGTGACAAGCATACTGAGTTAACTGAATCAAAATGGCCATTTAATTTGGCTTTTTGTTTTCTTGTTTTAAAATCCCATAAATTGATTGAGTTATCATCACTCCCTGAAACTAAAGTAGTTCCATCTGGGGAGAAGTATACTGAGTTAACTGAACTCGTATGGCCATTTAATTTGGCTTATTATTATCCTGTCTTAACATCCCATATACAGATTGACTTATCTCTACTACCTGATGCTCAAGTAGTTCCATCTGGTGAAAAGCATACTGATTTGATGCAAAAACTATGACCATTTAGTTAATTCAGTTTGTGTATTTTAATATTCTTCCACTTACAATTTAATAATAGAGCTTCATTTAGATTAACTCCACGAAGATCTACATTTTCGAATTCTGATCTACTAAAATTACATCTTACAAAATTTGCCCCAATCAAAGAAGCATTTTTTATTCTAATATCTTCAAAACTTTGGTTGGTTAAATCTACTTTCATCTGCACTAATAAACTAAGTCCATTTGACCCACATTGTATAAATTTTTAATCTATACAAGTGAGTTTGACTAAAAATTTAAGAAATTCAATGATTTGTTTATTTCCTGCTATCTTCTTTATTAGATTTTATCTTTACTCTTCTATTGCTTCTGTGAAAATGTCATATTCACTAAAAGAATGATCTTAAATATTTCTCAAAATATTTGCGATCTTCAAAATTTACTTTCTAACTTCCAAGTTCAATTCCTTATTTGTAAAAGATTCATAAAACATTTGACTATCTTACTTTTCAAAGTACCATTGAATATCGGAAATTTTATTTTTCCTTAGTATTTCTATTACTATTTTAAATATTTAATCATCAATATCCTCAATGGAGGCTAAAATTTCATATAACTCTTCTTTCCTTTAATAAACTTCACCTTCATCTTAATTATATTCAATCCTATAATGAGAAGTGAACTACATTTTCTTTTTTTAAAAAAATTATTGAATTTCTTTTACATTTATATTAACTTTAATATGATTCCAAATATTACTTGCATATTAAAGATAAGCTAAAGACAAAACATGGTTAAAATAGGCCTAAATATTTCTTGAAATAAAAACATCAGATCATAAATAAAAAGACTTTTTTTAGATAAAATTATTGTTCAAAATGAAAAATAATATTTTTCAAAAAGAACATTTAATCAATTATTCAAAAACTAAAATAAAATATAATATTATAGAAAAATGAATATTAAATTATAAATATAATAAATTATCTATTAATGAATCTTAAGTTATTTTAGGATTTGTGCAAATTAGGTTGAAAACCAATTCTAACCAATTATCATTTGATTAAAGGATGGTTAAGAGATATTCATCTTAATATAGCAATTACTTTAATAATATTATAGATTTTCGATAAAATTAAACTGGGGCTATAAATAGAAAAGTTAGATTATATTATTCTTTTTTTTTTTTTTGAATGATTTAATGATAAATTAATTAATTTAGCTACTAAATGTGAAATCTAAATTGCATTTAAAACATCATCAGAAGATTCTTGTGCATATTATTCATAATACGATATAGAAATTAGTTCATAACATTCTAGGATGATTGTTATGCATTTTTAGATTATGCTCTTAGTCTTTGAGAATTGTAAGAACTTCAAGAATAAATAAATTTTTTCTTCAAAGAAAGATTCTAGTAATTCACAAACTTTATTTTACTTGATGTTGCTAATTATTGAATAAGAAAATTTATTTAAAAATTGTTTCAAAGTTAAATTAAAAATTTTAATGATTTTTATTGAAAAAGTATCAATGAAAAATATACACAAATTATCAATCAACTATTTTCGCAAATTTAAAAAAAACAATTGTATATGTTAGGAAAATAAATGAGGAAATTAAATAAAGGAATTAAAATGCCAATTTAAAAGAAATTCTAGATTACCAGAAGAATCAAAAAGATCTTCTAATTTTATCAGTATTTTCAAGAATATAGAAGTGATTTTTATCCAGAATGTCAAGACAAAGGGCAATTACAAATTTTAGGAAACACTAAGAGCTTTTAAAGTCTAAATAATAATTTTTCCATTTAATGCTCTTTCTTTAATAAATTTGTATTTGGCCAAAAAAGTACTTCTTATTTAAGATTTAGTGAATGAACGCCATCAATTTCAACATAATATGCTAATGGAAAAATTGCTTTTGACTAACTTCTTAAATAAAATATAAAAGAAAAATTAGTAACATTAAGTTGATCATTTGATACATTCATGACCCCTCTCCTTTAGTTTATTGAAAATATTTAATGAATTTGAATTAATACTTTCATAAATTTTAGATTTAATACAAATTTTAATGATGATATATTTTAATCTATTATCAATCCATTCAATATCTAAAATCATCTATCTTTATAATAATTGGATAATTTTTTCAGTATAGATAAAAGGATTAAAACAAATAAAGTGCTTAAAAGTCCCTGCAAAAGAGAAAATGACTGGAGGTCTTGATTAGACAATTATCTATCTATTCCAAGCAAGGCCACTTAAATTGGGTTTGTGCTTTTTATCAACCATCATTTAAAACTTTATAATTATAATAAATTGAGCAAATGATAAATTTAACATAATATCGAATCTTAATCGAAAATTGCCATGTAATTTTAATAAACAATAGTTTTAAAAAGTAAAATCTAATATTAATGACAAATTGAAGATGAACATTCTGGTTAGTTATTTGGCAAAAGCAGATTATATAAATCTATTTATTAGATAAAATATAGATATTGAAATTCATACGATGTATCACAAAAAAGGTTTATAAAAAAGAGCAAAAGTATGCTAATGAAGATTTACAGAAAAATTATTATTAATAGTTTTGATATCCATTATTTTCTATATTTATTAATAATTATATTATGTTTAAATATAATTGAATAATTAATGATGAATTCATTTTTAATATAATTTAGTTAGAATAAGTTATATATTGATTTCTTATATTATCAATTTTGAGGACATATTTTAAAAAATCTCTTTAGTATATTTAAGTCAAAAACTAATTACTAAAAGAATAGCCTGTAGCTTATTTCATGATTTTATGATACTTAAGCAGTACTCAAAGGAAGATTCTATTTTTTCCATTATTTTAATGATGGTTTTATTAGTTAAAACTATTGAGGCATGTAAAAGTGCTTTATTTTAAAATTTTTGGTTGCTTAGACTGAATTTTTACTGATTCTACTCATTAAGGAGTATAAGCAAGGCAAAAAAGTTTTTGTTTAAACAAAGTTGCCGATACTGAAAGCTAAAGAAGAAAAAATATCAATTCAACTCGCCTAATGAAATATTTATTTCAGTAAATCAGTACAATGTCTATTGAAGAGAAGCCAAAATCGATAAGCCAGAAATAATATTAAAATTTAACATTCATTTATTTTATAGTTTAAAAATATGAATAAGGATTTTTTTTGTTTAAAATATTATTCAGGTTTTTAAGTTTTTTTTTCAATTTTAACAATCTTTTAGAACTCTTCCAAGATTTTAGATTTGCATGTCCTTTATTAAATTATTTTTTTTTCCATAAAAAAACAAAAGCAATAGTAATAAATTTAATTATAATGCTGAGACAATTAGATATTAAAAGAAAAATGAAATGCTCTCGGTTTTGGTTTTTTTTTAAAGCCAATATTGGTTATTTTATTCTTCAATACTACATAAAAATATTTAAAAAATAATTTTAGGTTAAATTTAAAATTGATTGCATCCATTTAGCACATCATTTTAAATCAGTCTCAATTTTTCTTAATTATCTTTGTATTTGCAATTTCAAAATTCTAAAAATTTGGATAATTAATAATCATTATTTAACGTTTATGGAGATAGCAAAAAAAGAAGTGTAAGTTGATTGTTGATAATTTGTTTATGTTTTAAGAGTATTTCTTGAGCTATTAAATAAATGTAACTTTGAGATGGTAAGGAGAATTATAATAAATTCAAAGTCTTTGCATATTATT